TCTTCCTCTTCCTCCTCCTCTTCCTCCTCCTCCTCCTCTTCCTCTTCCTCTTCCTCTTCCTCCTCCCCATCCCACCCAACTCCTCCTCCCGAGTCATCATCCCAAGTCGTCCTCCTCCTCCGCCTCCTCCTCCTCTTGTCCTCCTCCTCCTCCTCCTCCTCCTCCTGCCCGCTGCTCGGCCTCACCGCCAGCAGTTCTTCGTCGTACTCGAACTGGCCGTCGGCCCCCTCCTCCTTGCAGGAGTGGCCCTGCACCTGGGGGCGGGGCGCAGCGGTAGGGTTCGGGCGAGGTGGGGCCGAACAGCTTGGCAGAACAACAAGAGACGCTCCAAACGGTCCCTGGGAGGAACGAGCTGTGAGCACCCAACTGGGCCCACTCCCCGACCCCTCCTCGGGACAGCCCCCTCCGTCTGCGGACCCCCCGGGCACCTGAGGACAGCCCGTCGTGAAGGGCACCGGCCCGGTGATGTCGATGCAGTAGCCCCACCCGTTGGGCTCGTCCAGGTTGTCCAGGAGGTACCTGGTCTTGGAGGCTTCTTAAAGGGGCGCCAACACCAGCACAGGGGGGTGCCTCCACAGGGGGAAGATGATCCTAGACTTCGGCGTTGGTGGCAACAGTTCGGCCACCTCGGAAGCCACCAGATCACCACCATCACCGAGATCGGGATCTTCTTCCCTCGGTGGAGGCACAGCGCCGATATCGGTGTTGGTGTCAACCTCTAGGCCTGCGATGGTCGGCGGCGAGCGAGGGGTGGTGGTGGGACGATGCCACGGGTGAGGTGCCGTGGTCACAATGGAAGCCCCCCTTCCCCAGGGAGGCTGTGAGCAGAAATCGGGAGGGATGGGATGAAAGTCGTGGGGCCAGGAGACCTTGCCCCTCCACAGGGCCCGCCCCCTCGCGTCCTCGTCGAGCGCCGCCTGCCGCCAAAGTGCTCGGCGTCGGCGAACGAGGGGGGGGGGAAGTGAGAAGGAGAAGGCCGTCGCAGAAGGCGGCGGGGCTTCTCAGAAGCGCTCCGGGGAGGCTTGGAAAACTTCTCAGAAGGCCGGGGAAATTCCGAGCCTTCTGAGAAGGTCCGCCCTCTCTCACTTGCCCTCCCTAGAGCGCCGCCGACCTGGGCCCGGATCGAGGATCAATGGGCGATTGGAGGGCGGCGCATCCCCCCTGAGCCTACCCCCCTAATGCTGCCCCTGGGAGATCTGGGCCGAGAAGCTCGGTGCTCGCTCTGGGGGCCTTCCTGGAGCCACTCGCTCCACCGGTGCGTCGACGCTGCGTCGAACGTCCGTCGACTCGAGTCGAGCCTGAGTCGAGCCTGAGCCGAGCCCGAGTCGAGCCTGCGTCGAACTGGGAGTCGAACTGGAGTCGAACTGGAGTCGAACTGGAGTCGAACTGGCGTGGAACAGATCCGCCGGGTGGGCCCCAGGAAGGGCCCCCAGACCCGCATGCAAGAGATGGGCTCGGGGAGGCCCTGCGGCGTGGGGCGCCCTCGACCTCCGCCGTCTCCCCCGCCTGCCGCACGGTCGTCGGCCGAGGCGCGGCCGCCGCGGCCACGTCTCGGCGGCGCCCGTCGCGCGAGGAGTGCGGCCGGCGGAGGCGGAGAGCGCGCCAGCCCAGATCTCCGAGGATGCGATCCTTCCAAGGCGGGCGTTGTTCCCCGAGTGTGGCCCCATGGGGGCCTGTGGATCGGGCCCCGGGGCCACGAGCCCGGAGGCAGAGGACTGGCCCCAGGGGGAGGGTCGGAAGCTCTGGGAACACGGGTTGAAGAACACGTCGGCGGATGTCCGCGAGGTGCCGCGACGGCCCACGTTTCACTGTTTTCGGCCTCTGGAGGCCGTTCCCGGTCGGCCGTTCACGGTCGGCCGTTCCCGGTCCAGGGACCGCCAAAAACCGACTCGGGACGAAAATCTGGCCCCGGGGAAGTGGTCTCAGGCCCGTGGCGTCGAAGTCAGGAACAAAACGCAGCGTCGGAGGAGGAGTGGTCCTGTCCCAACTTTTCGCGCCATTGTGTGGGCCCTGGAGCCTCTGAGCGACGACGACGACGACGACGCCGACGCCGACGCCGACGCTGACGACGACGACGACGACGACGACGACGACGACGACGACGACGACGACGACGACGACGACGACCCTCGACGACGGGGCCGACGACGACGATGACGACGACGACCCTCGACGACGGGGCCGACGTCGACGATGCCGCCTGGCGCACCTGCGGCGCGGGCGGAGTTGGCGGCGGCGAAGGATGTCGTTTTGCGAGGGACGCTCTAAAGCCGTCTGGAAGCCGTCTGCCCCTTCCCGAGGTACCTCCGGTCAGGGGCTTTTGCTTAGCGTGTCGAGGCGGCGGCCACGGCGACACGCTGTGCTCTGCGAGCGAGGCACGTGCCCAGCCAGCCGCCCGCGGAACTCCCGAGCCCGGGCCGCAACGAGGGGCATCGGCTCCACGTGGTCATTTCCAGAAGTCCTGAATCCGAAAATAATGGCATCTCTTGGGGATGATGTGCTCACTTCTGCTGGCTTCCGCCGACCTTCCGCCTGCTCCCGCCGGCGGAGCCGCCCTTGTTGCGCTTCCGCCGGCTCCCGCCGCCCTCCTCCCAGGAAGCGATGTCGGCCTCTCGACCCCTCGACGGCGAGGCCCCGTCTGGAGCGCCCCCCCAGGACTCCGGGCCTGGGTCCGCCGGAGGAGCGGACTGGCTGGCCCCCCGTGGGCGCTGGCCCCCGTCGCGTGCGCCCCGACGGAGGCCTCTGGGAGCCTCTGGGCAGCTCTCTCGAGAGACCTCTCGACGGGAGAGGGGGGGCGGGGGCCCCTCGGGCGCACGCCTCGGGCCGTGCCCGCCGCCGCCGCCCCAGAGCAGGCGGCTGCGTTTCGAGGGAATGGGGCGTCTGCTGCTCCTCCTCCTCCTCCTCCTCCTCCTCCTCCTCCTCCTCCTCCTCCGCCTCCTCCTCCTCCGTATCCTCATTCTCCTCCTCCTCCGCCTCCTCCTCCGCCTCCTCCTCCTCCTCCAGAGTTAAGGCCCTCCCTTGTGGCATCCTCGGCCTCGCCTCCGCCCCGGCCTCCCCCGCCTCCTCCACGTCCGCCACCTCGGGGGAGTGGCGGACGCGCTGCGCTGTAGCCCGCAAGAGCGGCTGAGTCAACGGGGGGGTGCGAGCAAACGAGCGAACGAGGCTCCGATATGCGCCAGGCCGGCTACGCGCGCGCGAGCCCTCGCTCCGCACGCCTGCTCGAGTAGCGGGGCGAAGAGGAAGAGAAGCGTTAGGAGGGAGGGGCGAAGAGTGACGAGCGAGGAGGAGAAGGTGGTGGTACTCAGCATTTGGTCTCTCTGCACTGCTGATTCAACTGCAGTCGTGACCGCCGTGCGCTTTCAGAATACAAAAACCTCCCTGCGTCAAACCACAATCGCCTCCCATCCCACCCCGCCACTGCTTCTCCAGTGGGGGAACGCCAAGGATAACGCTAGGGCAGAGAATGACAATGGGGGAGGAGGAGGAGGAGGAGGAGGAGGAGGAGGAGGAGGAGGAGGAGGAGGAGGAGGAGCAGGAGGAAACCCAAATGGCATTGGTGATGTACTCAAAGCCTCAGGGACCTTTTCCTTTTGGACGCATTCGTAAACCCCCGACATAATATTGTGCCATTACGCGGGCCCCCCGAGATGTCGACCCATCCCCTGAGATGGGTTTTACATCCTGAATCGTTTCCTGGCGGTCCCGGGGCTCGGCGAGAGCCCCCAAAGACCGACCATCGCACAAAACCTCACGCCATGGATTCATCCCGCGGGACTGGTTTGTCATACTGAATCGTTTCCCGGCGGTCCCAGGGCACGGCGAGGGCTCCCAGAGACCAAACATCTCACAAAGCCTCCCGTCGCGATCTCCCAATGACCTAAGGGGGCCTGTGTCTGCTTCGTGGCGAGGGCAGGGAACACAGAGGATAACGTCAGGATCAGGAGGAGGAGGAGGAGGACGAGGAGGAGAAGGACTAGTGTAAACCCAAGAGTCACCAACGATGTTGGAATAAACCCTCCCCCAAGCTCCCTCTTCAGAGGCCCCTTCCAACGGTTCACTTCCACAGAGGGACCTGCCTCGTTGGAAGACAACCGTTTGATGACCATGAAGCATGCCAAAACATTACTCCCGGTATTCCAACACCACGGATAAACCTGACTGTTGCGTCTTGACGGCACTCAATCGTGCCAGAACTCCATTCCTGGGACGTCAACTCCGCGAATCATCGTACCTGTTGCGCCCTCAAAACAACTCAAAAGCATGATCCTTCAAAAAATACCTGGTACGTTCATCATGGGAATCCGTGAATTCTTGAAATGTTGTATCAAAAATGTGCGCGACGCTAAGGCGCAAGCCACAATTTGAAAACGAACCGCCCTCAATCCGTGGAATTGTTGCAAATGTTACGAATGTGCACGGCGCTAAAACGAGAGCCACATTTTCAAAACCACCCGCCTTCAATCCGTGAAGCTCTTGCAGATGTTAAAAACAAGTTCGCACGGCGCTGAGGCGAGAGTCACGCTTTGAAAACCACCCGCCCTCAATCCGTGAAACTGTTTCACATGTTTAAAACGGATGTGCGCGGGGCTCAAGCGAGAGCCGCTTTTCGAAAACCACCCGCCTCTTGTAAATAACGAATGTGCGCGGCGCTAAAGCGGGAGCCACACTTTGAAAACGACCCGCCCTCAATCCGCGAAGCCCTTACAAATGGTTAAAACGAATGTGCGCGGCGCTACGGAGAGAGCCACATTTTGAAAACGACCCGCCCTCCATGTGTGAAACTATTGCCAATGTTTAAACCTCAGGGTCAGAAGTGGTGCGGAAGTCTCAGGCGAATCGCCCGGCCCGCCCTAAAAATCGGCCCCGGGGTGCGACAGGGAACAACTATTTACAAGGAGAAGGAATGGAGAAGGAGGAAGCAAGATTAGCCTGGGACTTAATGTGTTTAAGCTGGATTAGGCGGCACTCGGCGGAATTAGTGGGACTCAGCCGGATAAAGCGGGATTAAGGCAGATTGGGCCAGAGTTAGACTTGGGGAATACCAGCGCCGACTCAGAAGCTAATCTCCCAGGAATTGCATCCTAGCAGGGTGGAGGAGCAGGAGGAGGAGGAGGAGGCAAAGGATTTTCCTCCGGGGCCCCTCGCCTCAAAAGTAAACCTGATTCGAGGCAGAAACGGCCGCAGCCTCCTCCTTGGCCTTCACTCAGGCCAACATCGCGTTCATCCCAGGAGTTTGGATGAGACGCGTGGCACTCGGGACGTGCTGCCTCGCAGGACTCGAAGCAGCATGCATTACCTCCTGCGCAGCATCTCGACACACAAGGGCGCGGCCAGTGGCGACGGTGACCTCCCGTCTGTAGTGGGGGTACCGACCTTGCGCGATCAGACTGAGTGCAGCCCGACCACGGGAACCAGGTGCCCCTTCGCAGCGATCCCCGAGCACGAAGCATCGCAAGCTCGTCTAGGCACAGCATCGGAGGCAGAAAATTCGCGGGCGAAGGTGCCCGTCTTGCACCAAA